ACCAACACGTCTCCCTCTTTAACGCCCTACAAATCATCAAATCCCTCTTATTTCCTCAACCAACCCTGTAAATGTGCATCCTTATAGATACCCTCACACCCACAAAACTGAAATCGAAAAGCAAATTTCTACGTTGTTGGATTCTAGTTAGATAACTCCGAGCACAAGCCCTTTCTCTTCTCCAATGCTTTTGTTGCGGAAGAAGGATGGGTATTGGCGTATGTGTGTGGATTATCGAGCCTTGAACGCGGTTACAATCAAAGACAGGTTCCCATTGCCCACGATTGATGAATTGTTGGATGAACTAAGGTTTGCTCGATGTTTCTCCAAGTTAGATCTCACTTCCAGCTTCCATCAAATTTGTATTCATCCTTCTGATGTACACAAGACTGCATTTTGTAGTCATGATGGGCATTATGAGTATTGCCTCATGCCCTTCAGGTTGTGCAACGCCCCAGCCACATTCCAAGCCACGATGAATGACATCTTTCAGCCTTTGTTGCGCAAGTCAGTGATTGTTTTCTTCGATGATATTTTAGTATTCAAAACCACCATTGAGGAGCATCTCTTTCACCTCCTCCAGGCGTTTAATATTTTTCTCGTTAATCAATTCTACCCGAAATCATCAAAATGCTCATTTGCTCAATTACAGATAGATTACCTGGGACATGTCACTAATACAAAAAGAGCGTACAACGTTGAATATTTTAGGCCTTTCATGTCAAATTCGAGAACGACGTCATATAGAGAGACATTAAATTGACGTCAAATTTTAAAAATTTGACGTTAAATTTAACGTCGAATTTTATCAATAAACGACGTTAATCGAATTTTATCAATAAACGACGTTAATCGAATTTTTTTTATTTTTTTAATTAATTGTGATCCATTTTTACAACTCTACGAGACTTGAAAACCATAAAAACAAATTTCAGTTTTTGGAATTTTGTAAAGCATGAACTATGAACGTGTAATATAGTATCAACAACAATGACAAACAACAAACAAGTTCAATCAAACAACAAACAAGTTCAACCAAACAACAACATCAAACAAGTTCAACAAAAAACAACAAACAAGTTCAACAAATAAGTTCTTCAAAACGAAAACGAAAACGAAAACTAACCTTGGTTCATCGGAATAAAGTGTTGTCACAAGTGAGAGAGAAAGCAGAATGCGCCTATGAAGGACAAGAACACTAAAATAATCGGTCAAAACAAACAAAAATCATACCTAAAGTAGTAAATTAACATGCATTTGTATCAAATGAAAGAAAGATTACATGTGATTTCGTTCGAGACAAGTTTGAGCAGAGAAGAGGGTCTCGCACGCTCAGATAAAGTGAATGAATTTTCAATCTCCCGCTCAAATTTTTATTGAATTCACTAACCTTTTGACGTCTAACGTTGGGGCATTTGACTTTTTATATCCTTTTATGTTGAATTACAATTCTAAATGATTTTTAATAATTGCATTTATTTACAAAAATGTCACCGGTCATTTTTAACGTTAGTTATTGAGTGGTTTGTCGTTGAACGCGTGACGTTATACGCTGTTTTTGCACTAGTGTGTGGTCGCAAATGGGTTTGTTGCACCAAACCCCGCCAAGGTTCCAGCCATGGTTGCATGGCCAGTACCATCTTCTCTTAAAGCCCTTCCCAGATTCCTTGGGCTAATAGGGTTCTACCGAAAATTTGTTAAGGGATATGTTGCAATAGCCTTTCCCCTCATAGAATTGCTTAAGAAGGAAGCTTTTCATTGGTCATCCCAAGCACAACAAGCTTTTGAGGCCCTCAAAATAGCTATAATTGGTGCTTCTGTTTTGGCTTTGCCCAATTTCTCCCAGCCATTCATCCTTCAAATTGATGCTTCAGGTACTGCTATGGGTGTTGTGCTTGTCCAAGACTCTCACCCAATCGCCTATCTTAGCAAGGTTTTTTCCCCTCATTTAACAAAGGCTTCGACTTATATTCGGGAGTTGCATGCAATTACCAGTGCTGTAAAACATTGACGTCAATACCTGTTGGGAAATTTCTTCATTATCCAGACAGATCAGAAGAGCCTCAAGGAATTGCTAACTCAAGTGATTCAAACTCTAAAAAAACAATATTATGTTACTAAGCTATTGGGTTATGATTATGAAATCTAGTATAAGCCTGGAAAGCTGAATGTTATAGCAGACTTTTTATCGCAGTCCATAGGCAAAACAGATGGTGAATTAATGATGTTATCTATCCCCAGTGTGACTCTCTAGATGAATTAAAGAAATCCCTCTTGGAGGATCAAGATTATCTCCTTTTGCGTCAGAAATGCATTGTTGATCCTGATTCGATGCCCCACTTTAATGTTGTTCAAAGGAAAATTTTGGTTGAACTTTTCTTCCAGATTTATCATCCTACTTTTGAAGGAGTTTCATGAGACTATGGTTGGAGGTCATGCAGGTGTGAAAAAAACCTTGAAGCGTCAATTTTTATTTGGCATCGATAGCAAAGGATCTACGCCACTTTATTTCCCAATGTCAGGTGTGCCAGCAAACCAAATATAGCACCAAGCGTTCTAGCAGCCTTCTCATTCCACTTCCCATCCCTTCCAACATTTGGGAGGATATCTTTATGGATTTCATTACGGGTCTTCCTCCTTCTCATGGTTATACCGTCCTTTTAGTGGTGGTGGATCGTTTCTATAAGGCGGTTCATTTGGGAGCACTATCAACTAGCTATACAACTTATAGAGTTGTTGAGTTGTTTGTTTCGATAATTTGCGAACACCATGGACTGCCTAAGAGTATTGTTTCCAACCGTGACCCGATTTTCATGAGTCTTTTATGGTCGGATTTGTTCAAATTCAGTGGCACTTTGCTTCCGATGAGCTCTTCATACCATCCCCAAACCGATGGGCAAACAGAGGTTATGAATCGCGCAATTGAATAGTACTTCCGAGCTTTCGTTCATGACAAGCCGCAACACTGGTTTCGTTACCTTCCTCCCTCTATTCTTGAGTATTTGGTGAGATCTTCTTCTATTAAGGGTTGTGATTCTTTACTTAAGTCACGTGAGGATGTATTGTCCCTATTGAAACGTAACTTGCTTAAGGCCTAGAAGCATATGAAGAAGAACGATGATCTGAAGCATAGAGAGGTCAGCTTTGATGTTGGTTCATGGGTGTATGTCAAGTTGCAGCCTTACCGCCAAATATTTGTTTCGGGGTCTAAATTCCATAAATTGGATAAACGGTTCTATGGGCCCTTTCAAGTTACAGCAAAGATGGGTCTTGTAGCTTACAAACTTGACTTACCTGACACTTCAAGGATCCACAATGTCTTCCACTACTCTGTTTTGAAGGCATATGATGGGCCACTTCTACCCTCTATTGACACCTTAAATCCTCTCTCATTTGAGAACAATCCGCTAGTCACTCCTCTTATCATCCTTGGATTTAAAACAAATAATGTCAATGGTGTTCCTAAGCGTTTAACTTTGGTTCAATGGCAAGGTTTCCCACCTAATGATACCTCATGGGAGGATTGGATTACTTTACAACAAATTTATGACCTTGAGGACAAGGTCATTGCAGAAGGAGATGGTAATGTTAGATATGAAAGCCCAAATTTTGCAGACACAACCATGGATAATGTCAGGCCCAAAAGAATGACTCACAAAACAAAAGGAATACTTGATTTTATTTATTATTAAGGGAATGTATGGGTTAGCAGATTCTAGAATGAAAGTTGGTTAGGATTTTTTTATTTGTCCTTTTGTGAGGTCGTGTATTAGGTTATATATTACCTACAGAAGGGGAAAAAATCTTATTTACTCCTATTTATCCTTTGTTCTTATAGAGGTTGTGTGTCCTTTAATTCAGTGTAATCACTTAACAATTCGCGTTTCTGTTGAAGTTTGTCTTACTAAAGTTCATGTTTTGTGTTGCTATTCTTGTCTAGAGTATTACATTGTGGAATGGTGTAGCTAGAATTTCGTTGGTTCCAAAAACGTGTTTTGCATTGCCTTCCTTTCAAAAATTTATATGTAATATGAGTATATATTTTTTTAATATGTTGTTAATATATTTTTTTTATATTTAAAATGTTGAACTATTTACTTTTTTTTTTAAATTGGTTAATTATATATTTAAATTTTATTTATTTGAGATTGTTGTTGCATTGAATTAGACTTAATTTTTTATTTAAGATTTGAAAATTATTTACTGTGTCAAAGTTTAATCCTAATTAGCCTTAGCATTGGTAGAAATAAATAGGAATCATAAATTAATTTTTAGCCAATGTTCTAAAATTTGAACCACAAATCTACGCTACATTTTAAACATTTAGTATATAAGGTTGTCTGAGTGGTCAGTGGAATGAAGTAAGGTTGACCTATTGACTTTTAGACTAAGAAATGCCTAGAGTCATATGCACAACAACAAAATTAAGGTCTTGTACAAAATTTGAACCACAATGTTGTACAAAATTTGAAGCACAAGGTTGTGTGAATGTGAATGAAGTAAGGTCTACCTATTCACTTTTAGACTAGGAAATACCTACAGTCATGCACAACAACAAAATTAACGTCTATACAATGCAGAAGACTATAAAAAAGACCATAAATCCACAATGTCTACCTTAAGATTCATTCCACAAATTTCGGATACTTAATTTTAATTATTAATAATGTGATGAATTTCATTTTTATTTTAAAATATTATAGAATTAATATATAATGATATCTCGTAAAGGAATAACTTTTTAACCAATATATAGTTATTTATCATTGATTAATAGTTTGATGTTTTGAAAAATACGAAAGTTAACAACTTTAAACTACAAAAATATAAAGCAATATATATATATATATATATATATATATATATTGCAAAAAACTTATTAAAAATAAAATGATAGTTAGGAGCTCTTGAAGAAGCATCACTATATATAAACCTCTGAAAGTATAACCATCTTATCAAATTTATCCAATCTTGGGGGGGTTCTGTGAGATTACCAGTGATTGAAGAATTGATTCATAGCAGCCATGGTGTTCTTATTTCCAAAGCTTCAGCCCATTAAGCTCATATCATTATGGTTCCTTCTACTTGTAATGGCAACTTCTCTCCATGCAACACTGTCTTCCTCACTCTCACTTCAATACACAGAAGCCAACGCTTTGTTGAAGTGGAAAGCAAGCTTTCACAACTCAACTCATACATTGCTATCTTCATGGCATGGCAATACTTCTTGCAATTGGCTTGGACTTGCTTGTGACCACTCAGGATCAGTCTCCAACATAAATCTCACAAACATTGGATTAAGTGGTACGCTTCAAACTCTAAACTTTTCATCACTTCCAAACATTCTCACTCTTGATATCAGTTTGAACTCCTTCACTGGAAGCATTCCTCCTCAAATTGGAGTGTTGTCCAAACTCACTCATCTTGATTTAAGTCACAATCATCTCACCGGTACTATCCCAAATTCTCTCGGAAAGCTATCAGTCTTGTCACATATTAGCTTGTGGAATTGCAGTCTTACAGGGTCTATTCCAAAATCTATAGGAAATATGGCAAGTCTTGTATATCTAGATTTTACGCAGAACAACCTTTATGGACATATTCCTCACGAAATTGGAAATTTGTCAAACTTAGAGAATTTGTGGTTAGCAATTAATAACTTAGACGGTTCCATTCCTCAAGAAATAGGTAAGCTGCAGAACCTAAAGGATTTATATATATATAACAACAATTTATCTGGAAACATTCCCGTGGAAATGGGGAAGTTGGTCAACTTGACCTGGTTATGGCTTTTTAACAATAATCTTTCGGGTTCTATTCCTCGAGAAATTGGAATGATGACAAATTTGCTTCAAGTTGATTTGTCCAGTAACTCTTTGTCAGGTACAATCCCCCCTACAATTGGAAATCTGAGCAAATTAAGGAATTTATACATATATACCAACCATCTCTCTGGTTCCATTCCTAATGAAGTGGGGAAACTCTATTCTCTTATGACAATCCAATTGTTAGAAAATAATCTCTCTGGACCAATCCCATCTTCCATCGGTAACTTGGTGAACTTGGATTCTATTCGTCTTAATGGAAACAAACTCTCCGGAACAATTCCTTCCACTATTGGTAACTTGACAAAACTTACCACACTTGCTTTATTCTCAAATAAGCTTAGTGGACACATCCCAATAGAAATGAATATGCTTAACAACCTGGAAAAATTGCATTTATATGACAATAATTTCATTGGTCAATTGCCTCACAATGTTTGCACTAGCGGAAAGTTGATAAACTTTACTGCTGGTAGAAACTATTTCACAGGTCCAGTATCCAAGAGTTTGAAGAATTGCACTAGCCTCATAAGAGTGAGGCTTGAACAAAACCAATTGACAGGAAATGTGACGGAGGATTTTGGTGTGTATCCAAACTTGGATTACATAGATCTGAGTGATAATAACTTTTATGGCCATCTTTCTCCAAAATGGGGGAAATGCCATAATCTCACAAGCCTCAAAATCTCCAACAATAATTTATCAGGAAGCATTCCACCAGAACTAATTCAGGCAACCAATTTACATGTACTTGAACTGTCTTCAAATCACCTCGTAGGAGACATTCCCGAAGATTTAGGTAATTTGACCTACTTGTTCAAACTCTCTCTCAATAATAATAATCTTTCAGGGAATGTTCCTATACAGATAGCATCAATGCTAGATCTTGACACTTTAGAGCTCGGAGCAAATGGTTTTTCTGGCATAATTCCAACTCAACTCGGTAATTTGGCCAAGTTATTACACTTGAATTTGAGCCGAAATAAATTTACGGAAAATATTCCATCCGAGTTTGGTAAATTAAAATATGTTCAAAGTCTCGATCTTAGCATGAACATTTTGAGTGGAAAAATACCACCCGTGCTTGGACAGTTGAAAAGCTTAGAAACATTAAATCTCTCACACAATCATCTTTCAGGCGATCTCTCCGGCCTTGACGAGATGAGAAGTTTGATATCTATTGATATATCATACAACCAATTACAGGGTCCACTTCCCAACATTCCAGCCTTCAAAATGGCTACAATTGAAGCATTGAGAAATAATAAAGGCTTGTGTGGTAATGTCTCAGGCTTAGAACCATGTCCAACATCACCTGACAATTATGAAAATCATCATAAGGCTAGCAGATTCATATTGGTATTTTTACCCATTGGTTTGGGCACTTCCATGCTAGCGTTATTTGTCTTTGGAGTGTCTTATCATTATTATCGAAGCTCAAAGAAGAAAGCACATGAAGATGAAGAATCACCAGGTCAAAATCTCTTTTCGATATGGAGTTTTGATGGAAAGATGGTGTATGATAACATAATTGAAGCCACAGAAGATTTTGACAATAAACATCTCATTGGAGTTGGAGGACAAGCGAGTGTTTACAAAGCTGAATTGCAAACAGGTCAAGTTGTTGCAGTTAAGAAATTCCATTCAGTAGAAAATGGAGAAATGTCTAACGTTAAAGCTTTCGCAAGTGAAATTCAAGCTTTGACAGAGATTCGACATCGTAACATTGTGAAGTTATACGGGTATTGTTCTCATTCCCGATTCTCGTTTTTGGTGTATGAGTTGATGGAAAAGGGAAGCATTGATAAGATTTTAAAAGACGATGAAGAGGCAATTGCATTTAATTGGAAAAGGAGGGTTGATGCCATTAAAGGTGTGGCAAATGCTTTATGCTATATGCATAATGATTGTTCACCTCCAATTGTTCATCGAGATATATCAAGCAAGAATGTTCTTTTGAATTTGGAGTATGTGGCTCATGTCTCAGATTTTGGAACAGCCAAGCTTCTTAATACTAATTCAACAAATTGGAGTTCATTCGTGGGAACTTTTGGATATGCTGCTCCAGGTTAATTCCTTACTTCTTTTATACTCAGTACATAATAATGATTCTGTAACTTTTCTTTGTTAGTGTTAAACTTGTACCAAAAGATTATGATAGGCTTGTGGCTTGTTTTATTTTTGTGAAATATTATGATAACTCCTTCATCTGGCTACAGAACTTGCATACACAATGGAAATAAATGAAAAATGCGATGTGTATAGCTTTGGGGTATTAGCACTGGAAATAGTTTTGGGAGAGCATCCTGGAGATCGTATAAGTTCATTGTTGACATCTTCATCGAATGTGATGGAGTCAACACTTGATATTACTTCATTGATGGATAAGTTAGATGAGCGTCTCCAACATCCTGCAAAACCTATGGCTAAGGAGATAGAATCAATTCTAAGGATGGCAAATGCTTGCTTGACTGAAAATCCTCGTTCTCGCCCTACCATGGACCAAGTTGCCAGCTACTTTTCAAAGTACAAGTCATGTTCATTCAATTGATTCCACATCGTCATGAAGAAAGTTCAAATGTTGAATTTATGGAATATGCATTACATTGTAATTTTATTTCTTGTCTTGATGTTCCGTGACTATTCTTGTCTTTTGTATTTGAGTTTGGTTTGGTCTTGTGTTGTTTAATTGGTATATTCAGTTCAGTGTTGTGGGTTTGTTTTAAAAATATTGTTCCCTATTTATATATATATATATAGTCTTGGTGTGCCAAAGTCTTACAAAGTGGTGGTTTACATTTTGAATTCGAATTGGTTTTAATTTCATATGCATATAGCCTTGATACACTTCGAATTCTCATTAGGTTTCTGTTTTTTATAAACAGAAAGATTATGACAATTTTGTTAGTGCCTTTTTTTCTTATAATGATGCAGTCAGCCTTTCCGAATACTTATTCCTTCTTCAGTTTAACTTGCAAAGGGCAAAAGTTGCAATGGATATTTGAAGTGAATTTTTTACTTATTTATTGTTTACAAAATTGGGCACATGATTAATTATGGAAATATTGGGGCCATTGTATGGGACAACTTGTTATATAGGACAGTTTCTTCCCATACCTCAATAATTTTAATTCGCACCCTCGTAAATTATACTGTTTCAGATTATAAAATTGGAATGTAAATTTATATTTTAAATTATATAAAATAAATTAATTTTTTATTTTGTATTTTGGAATATAAATTTTGGTATTTTGAAATGTATAATCTGGATTATATATCTAAAATCTATTTGTTATCTTTTATTTCAAAGTATAATTTGAAATACAAAAAATTATATACAAAAATTTATAGGTGTAGGTTGAAACTATGGAGGTGCATAACAATGGTCGTTGTATAACCATTTAATTTAGAGGGTTACTCCCTGCACCACCTCACTTTGCTTTCTGCACCACCACATTTTTTTTAAATTCCAAAACTATTATTTATATTTTAAAATATCCTACATCCTCACCTCTTTCCTTCAACGGATGTCAACATCCTTTGAAGAAAAAATTCTTCAATAGATATGGTACATCGGTTAACGGATGTGCCACATCCTTGAATTGTTTTTTTTTTAGTTTTTTAAATTTATTATATTTTAAATTAATATATAAATATTATTTAATTTTTTTTAAAATTATTACTTAATTATTTATAAATTTATTTTATTTTATTTAATAAAATAATTATTATTAATTTAATTTATGTATTATTATTTAAATAATAATTAAAATATTTTTTATAAGTATATTAAAACGGATGTGTCACGTCTGTTAACGAATGTGGCGACATCAGTTGAATTTTTTTTTTTGTTTTTTTAGTTTTTAGTTTTTTAATTTTTGTATTTTAAATTAATGTATAAATATTATTTAATTATTTTAAAATTATTACTTAATTATTTATAAATTAATTTTATTTTATTTAATAAAATAATTATTATTAATTTAATTTATATATTATTATTTAAATAATAAACAAAATATTTTTTGAAAATCTATTAAACAGATGTGGCCACGTCCGTTGAAGTTTTTTTTTTTTTTTAAATAAAAACAATAAACTAAAATATAAAATATGTAAACGGATGTTAACCTCCGTTCATGGATAACAACATCCGTTTCACCTTCAATGGATGTAGACATCCGTTTTATAACAAGGACAAATTATGTATGTAATGGTGCAGAGAGCGGTTGGTGGTGGTGGAGTGAGCAACTCCCTTTAATGTAGTCCACGCTAACTCATTATGGGCCACTTGTATTGGAACCCCCATAAGAGGGGTGCAGGAGAAAAAATGGAGGTGCAGGAAGATATGGCCTCAATATTTTAATTCAGCCCATTTCTTTTTTATTTTTCATTTTTGACTAAATACCTTCACTAAAACACATTTTTCGTTGCTCTTTTAGGCAAAAAGGAAGTTTCCATTGAAACGTTTACTCCAATGCAAAACTAAAATGTCTTTAATAAGTTTTCCAATATAAAATTGAAATACATTTTTGTTTTAAACAAATATTATTATTTTATCTTTTCTCTCATTGTTGTAAAAATCTAATCATTTTTTTAGTTCATTTGTTCTTTTAATTTATTCATTCAATGGTCGGATTTCTAATTTAGATGGGTGTTAGTCGTTAGTTCATTGATAAAACTAGATGAAAATTTTTATCTGTAATGACTCTCTGAAATTAAGTTAATAAGAATAGAGGATAATGTGACAATAAAAAATAGTACAAAATAAAATGTGAATGTCAATATGGAGAAATTAAGTATTTATAGGTGTTTTGAATCTATAGAAGATATATTAATAAGTTTTGTTGATTTCGTGTTAAATAATAATTGAAGTATACATATCTCATAAATAACAATATTATCTTTCAATATTTTAGAGATATTATAATAGTTTTTATTACTTTTAGACCTATTAATTTAAATTGGTTATATAAAAAAAATATTGCATCATACTACTATATTAACATCAACTTCTTAAATATTTAATATATTTATTTTAAATAATTATTCTTTCTCTTTGAGTCTATGCAACAATTCACAATATGTAATATGTATGATAGTTGTCCTCGACTTTTACAATGAATAATTTAAATTTAATTACATTAGTTATCTTTTAAGTGGCGTAGAGGATGTCGAAAACATAATAAAAAAAGAAGATAAAAGAATGTCAAATTGTAAATAAGCTGTAAATTTCGTTTTCCAATAAAATTTAGCTAATAAAGGAGAGAATATTAACAAAATCATATCAGAAATGTGTTTCTAACATTTCTTTACTTTATCTATCTATAAAATAAATGATCATATATAATGCTTAAGAGTGTGTTTTTTGTTTAGAAAAAAATTGAATTATTTAGCTAATCTAAAATTATATAAAGATGACTTCGTTATAGATCAAATATAATTTTTAAAATAATGAAATATTATAAAAATAAATAAACTGTAATGATATTTTGAGATTTTTAAAAATTATATTTATGGTGATGACTCCTTTATAAAGAGTAATAGTTTCAGAATTGTATGTGTAATGTAATATATATATATATATATATATATATATATATATATATATATATTGTACATATTTAAAAAAGACAAATGTCCGAGTAATTAATTAAAAAAACTCATTAGTGTAATTTATTAGAAAAAAAATAAACACACCTCTTTCATGAATTTTGGTTCTTTCCCTACCTAGCTAGTACAAGAAATATATTTACAATATCATTCTTTTACATTGGCTATTTATTACAAAGGTGAGTGTAAAATAATATGATGTAGAGATTTTGAAAATAAATATAAATGCTCTATATATAATTGATGTAAAAAGTATTTTAGCATTAGTTAAAAATAATTAAATTAATTAAAGAATTCTTCCTACGTACGTCTCTTTCATACTGTACTCTCCTTTATCTATCCGCCCCTATCTTCCTCTTTCTATATCTCTTATATACCTTTTCTTATGTCCTTGTCCTATTTACTAATTAAATATAAATTTATGTTTCCATTAATTAATAATGAAATACGACCATGTATGCTTTTTGTTTTAAGATTTGTATTGCCATAAATCATATTAAAGTGTTAGATTTATTTTCTAGTTATTGATTGTCTAAAAAAATTGGTATAGTTTATTATTTATCTTTTTTAATGTCATATTTTTAAAATTTCCAAATATTTAGTTTAAAAATTCTACCCTAAAATTTCGCTTTTAAAATTACTTAAAAACAAAATTTTATATAAGTAGATATAAAATTTTCATCATTCTGTCTGAACAGGACATTTGAAAAAAAATAAAAGAAGGCAGATTATAAAAATTTAATTAATTTTAAATTCCTTTAACTTAAAAAAAAGTACCCAAGTTTTCATCCACATTTGAAGACTAATTAATGAGGTGGCGTTGACGCTTTTAGTGTTTTGTTGTGTCGTTAAATGCAGTGCCGAAAATACAGGTACTTGCTTATGATTACCTCTTCTTCTTTCTTTGATCGTGATATATACTAATATAGAGCGTGAGTTACGTATATCAGAATATTCTTATATATGTATAATGCCATCTATTCTGTTGAACATTCAGCCTCTCAAAGAAAACAAAATTATATATATTTCTGTGGCAGAAAATTACATTTTCTAGAAACTACTATAGCCATACGAACATTATATATCATTTTTATGTTTTATTTTTCAAACGTCGAGTTTATATATCTTTTTAAAAACAAAACGATTAATTCATTTAACCTTCTTATAACTTAGGGTTTAGCCTCTATTATATAATTTATAATTGTTCTCTAATTTATAAGAACGATGGGTTTGTTCTCACTTTTATCTAAATGTCTAATAACTAATTTAAAATTAATTTTTTTATTGGTATATGGGATAACCTTATTGATAACAAAAATATAATACCAATAAAACATAAGTTTAATTTATATATAAGATATTAATATCATTTCAACCTAAAATATATGTAGTAATGAATTTATTTTACTTTTTTTTTTACATCTGTTCAATTTTATTATCACTCATTATTATTTAATGTAGAATTTCGATTTAAACTTAATTTTTTTTAATAATGTATAATTAACCTGGTGCATTGACTAATCAAAGACATTTTGTATGCATAAATTAGATGATATTGTAGAATGAATGAAACCGAATAAATAGGTGAAGAATAGAAATAGGAGTGGTAGGTGATGGAAAAATAGGTTTGGTTTGAATTGAGTGTTTAAGCATAAATAATAAGCAGCATTTATACAAACTATAAGAAGCCGTAATGGCAGATGAATATGGACCTATTGATGGTGTTTGACAAAATTGACAACTAAACCGATACCCCTAAACTCAATGCTGGATTATGGAATTAATGTCTTTTGAAAAATAACAACAATTTATTTAATAAGATTAAAGATTGAAAGTTTTTTTTTCTTGTCGTGTTTCAAACGAAGTTCATTTATAGCAAAACAAAGTTTACTTGTTTTGTGTCTTTTCGAGATTGGAGATTGGTATATGAACTTGTTTCCTTAATTAATTCTTTTATTATTTACTTCTTTTGGTTAGTTTGATATTTTTATCAATAAAATGTTTAATCAAATTCTTTCATTTTAAAATTACCTTAATAATGTGATTTTTAAATATTTAATTAATAAAGTCCCTCGATTTTTTTAAAATATAAAAAAGTAACGATAATTACTTTTTAATTGTTGAAGATTTTACTTAGACTATCTTATAAGAAAATTAAGGTAACGA